GTAAATCTCTAATTAAAGGAATAATGTAAAATTAATGTTACTGTTAAAGTATTAAATTTAATAAAAGTATAAACCTAATGAATAAAATCATTTATGATTAAAGTTCTCATCTGGAAATAGACGTTAAAAGCTGTCAAATGTGAATTCAAAATGTTCTTCCATTTCATGAAAAAAATTAAAGTCTGAAATCATTTTGTTTTCATGATTTGATTTATTTCGTTGTCTGTTGTACTTCCTTTGTGCTGTATTTTGAAGACAGCAGGATGAAAGGACATAAGTTTAAGATTTGGAAGAGGCAGACAGTTCAGTTGGAATTTTGCACAAAGCTACACAAGGGCTATCCATCCTTAATTTCGCAGTGAAAGACTAGAGGGAATTCAGCTAGTCATCACCACCCACTACCATCTCTTGGGCTACTCATTTACCAATGAATAGTGGGATTCACCATCACATTACAATACCCCCATGGCTTAAAGGGAGAGCATATTTAGTGGAACAGGGATTCGAACCCAAGACCCGCTGATTGTGAGTTAGGCACCCTAACCACCTGGCCATGCCAGGCCTTCAGTTAGGACAGCCTTATTTTTCTAACGGAGTTATCAGCTTAAAAAATGAGTTTTTACTTTTCTCAAAAGTGAGTGGACAAGAACTAACTCTCCAATAAGGACAACTGTCTATTGGGGCAAGTAGTACATCTGTGACCAGTCTCTCTTTGTTTCTTGCAAACTCAGTCAGAGAATACAGAATTATTTCACATTAAATATCTTGATGAATTTCCAGTGATTCAGTGGACCTATCTTTTCTGTAAAAACCACAAAGTATGCTTATCTGAAATAGAAAGAGCAGGCTTACCAAGTAAGCCTCTGTTGTAACCAGGGGGTTAATATCATGTCCTGTCTTCACTAAAATACAATACCCTTTAACCCGAGGTCTTTTGAAATGTGGATCTTTCTTCTATCAGTTTGCCTCTGAAGAAGAAAGTGCTCGGGTTATAGGGTATCGTATCTTTGTGTTAAATTGATTTCTTGAACCTACGTGTTTTTCTAACATCATGAATTTACTGTCTTCGTGTACTTTTGTTAATTATTAAAATTATTTAGGTTCTGCAGTGGTGCATTTGAAGAAAATTCTTGCCAAATTTTTCGTCACCTATATTAGTCCATTCAGATACTACAGGATATTGAATATCACAGATACTAGACCTACACTACTAATGCATTTTGTTATGGTCTGTGACTGATTTTTACCGAGTCTTCTCCTGAAAAAGAGTACTTGTCAGAGAGATGCCACTTAATTTTTTCCAGCTGTGATTGTATATGTCAAAATAATCTTATCTTTGAGATTTTCTGTAAAGTAGCAGCATCATGACGTGTCTTCTCTGCATCCGTTTTCCGATGACCAGTTGCACATTTTCTACCAATATTTCAACGACCACTTGATATAATGACCAGAACATTATTGTATTGATCCAATAAAACTAACATAAATCAATATACTAATTTACTCTGATGGATTTATTACAATAATTTCTTGAGAGTGTACAGCTATAATTTAAAAACGTATGAATGAAAACAAAATGATATAATAGGTCAACTACATCTGCCATGTCTATTGCTGAAAGACCTTTTGCCCAGTATGAGAGCTGGGACACAACAGACATAGTAATGGTGCAGGTACTATTTATATCATCAGTTTGCATGAACAATGACTGTTATGGTAAGTGAAATGTAATTATCGTCAAATTTATTTAAGCCATTAACTCATCATATTTTCAGGGTAAGGATTAATAACACAATATTTTTAATGTTTAATACAGAATATTTTTCTAATATTATTATTTAATTAATTTTACTATCATTGAGACAAATTCTTCTTGTTCCTGGAGCAGGTCAAACAATCACAGCTTCAACAGAAACACAATTTTAAATTGACTTGATGAAGCACCAAATTTCAAACATTTCCATAGATTCTGACGTTAGCACATCATGATTTAACTTTTAGATTATCTGTAAGTCAAATCACATTAAGACTTTCTACTGTTGTGTTCTGAGTTTCTCCATAAATAAAAAATAAGACAAAGCATAAAAATAAACTTAGCATGGGCCTTTTCTTAGTTATATTGATAGGGGAATAATTAATAAAGTTGGCTGATGATATTAAACTCTTGGATATATTTAGTTATACTGAGGATGTTAAGATATTACAGAATGACTTGGATCAATAGAAAATTTGCACAAATGATCTTTAATCCTAGTAACTGCAAGGTAATGTACTTAGGGTTATCATAAACTGGATCACACTTTTAAAAGATGGGAACCTCTTCAATGGTTTAAGTGAAGAAAAGGCTTGTGGCATAATGATGGATAAGTTTCTCATGCCGCTAAGTACTGTAATGCTCTGTTCCTAGAAGTAACACTAATAGAATTTTAATGTGTATTTAAATTGATATTAATTACAAGTAACAATGGGGTAACTATCTCTATATAAATCACTAGACCAGAGTCTCAACCTATCCCGATAAGACACCCCTTACATCCTTCAATACGATCACCTCTCAGCCATATTATCTCAACCTATCCTTGTAAGACACCCCTTACATTCTAGGAAGTATCATATTACTGCTCTTCTGATATCTTTACGATAAACCAATATTGTTTCTTAGATAAGATCAAAACTGTACAGTCTTCCAAAACATAATATAGCTGAGAGGTGATCGT